CTACCATACAGGTCCTCTGCTTGTATATTCTATTAAGATTTATTCATATAATATTACGCTATACTTTCAAGTTTCAATCAATTTGGTACAATTCAATTTACAGAGGTATGCTCCCAAAAACAGACAGGGTTTACTGTAACATATCACAAGGTCTAAGAAATTATTCAAATTCGTCAACAGTGAGATTTGAATACCAAACTTATTGCATAGCAGTCCAACAACCTAACTACTATACTAGGTCACCGAACCTATAATATTTGCAAATTTATATTATTTTACTACATATATATAAATTTTAACTTAGATATTTAAAGCTAATACTAATATTTATTTTTTTAATATTTATAAGATAATCAGCATTGAAAGCAATATAAATTTTTCTATATTTCAAAGTATAACTAAAAGCTATATATTCAAAATATCTATGTTTTTCAAATTAATCTAACTCAATATAATTCTTATTCTCCCCATATTCTCTACTATTAGATATATTATAATGGTATTGATACTTAGAAGAAGATTTGATCTGAGAAGATTTTTGTAAAATATCTCTGAATAAAATATTATACTTATAATAATTAGATATAGTTCTTTTCTTTAATACTTTTCTAATAGATCTGAAATATGATTTTTTCTTTAATACTTTTTTTGTAAACTTAGAATTACTTGAATTTGAATTATTGAATATAGAATAATTTAATAAGATATAACAATTAACCTTTTAAATATTATATATATATATACTCTTGTTTAAATCTAGAATTATTGTTAAACCTAATATTATTAAATTCAAAATCATTATTATCAGTATTATATGCTAAATTGTTATTGTTAGATTCAAAATTATTATTGTTAAGCTCAGAATTATTATTGTTGAATCTAGAATTACCTTTGCTAGATCTAGAATTATTATTATTATTAGACTCAGATTTGTTATTATTAAATCTAGAATTGTTGCTATTGTTGCTATTATTACTGTTATTGTTATTGTTACTATTGTTATTGTTGTTGCTATTGTTGTTGTTGTTACTATTATTACTATTGTTACTATTGTTACTATTGTTACTATTGTTGTTATTATTATTATTATTATTGATATTGCTATTATTGCTATTGTTATTATTGTTGCTGTTGTTATTATTGTTGCTATTATGACTGTTGTTGTTGATATTACTGTTATTGCTATTATTACTAATATTGCTATTGTTAGACACAGAATTTTTACTATTATTAAATATATTAATTGTTCTAGAATTATTATTGAACTCAAAATTATAATAAGATTCAGAATCATTAACAAACATATTATTGTTAGGCTTTGATTTTTTATTCTTAGATTTGTTACATTTATTAGAATTATAAGATAAGAAAATAGTTCAAAAGAAGGTATCAAGAGAAGTTTTAATAAATCTATCTAGTTATTATTATAATATTGATATCTTATAGTTTTATTTGATTAATTCATTAATATTATTTTTTTAACTCAATACAAAATTTTCTTATACTGTTTTAAAAAAATTAGTTTGATATGAGTATAGTGAAGAAATATATTAAAATTAAAAAAATATATAGTTATTAAGTATAACTATATAATGCTAATACATATAAATTCATATATTAATATATATTTTTATTTAATAACTATAATTAACTTACTCTTTCAGATCTCTATAGTAAATTTAATACCTTAACAATATGATCATTATTGATATTATTATCATTATATTGTTTTTTAACAGATTTTTTATACTCTGCAAGCTCTATATCTATTTCAGATATTTTGTTAGAATAATATATTATTTTGACTACTACTTCAACAAGTTTATCTTTTTATTCATCCTTACAAACTGAACTTGACTAGTATATCTCAATACTAGAGTTTTTAATGTGAATCAAATATTGAAGCTTATTAATCTTCTGCTTTTTTTTCTAAAAATATATATATATATTTTTTTTACACTTAGGCAATCTTACTTATTATTTTATTAAGAATAAGCTAATTTAAGCTACAAACAAATTGCTATACTATTTATAGCAAACTACTTTTCTAAAACTATTCAGAACTTACTCAGTTATCTTTTAGTATTTAAGTACGATTTGCTACAGTAACTATTTTTCTTATAAGAGTTTAAATTTGTATATATAAACTTCTAGCTCTTAGTCAACAAGAAGTTACTACTAGCCTATATCAAAATTATCTAATTTGTTTTAAATCTTAACTAACTCTCCTTACTATCTGACTTTATCTATTTATTAACTTTGTTTGAAACTTCTTTTGTATTTTTATTTCTTTTTTTTTCTTTAATTCTCTTGTTTCATTCGAAGGAGTTATATTTTCTTTATTTTCTTTCTTTTTCTTTTTATTTTTTTTTTTTCTCTTTAGTTATAATATTGTTTTTTTTTTCTATTCAATTATCACTTTATATCTAAATTTCTATAAACATTCATGAAAGCAAAACCAGAAATGTTTAATAAAACTTATTAATACTTTGTTTGTTTTGCTTTTTAACCAAGCTATTTTATATATATCTGTTTGTTATTTCTTATTTGTGAGACTTATAAGATGTATTTTTCTAATATGTATCTTTTTTTCTAGATCTTTACTATAAAGAGCTTTTCTTAATGCACTTTCATTGAGTAATAGATCTAGCTTTGTTAATAATTTAAAGATTGTTAAATACAGAGTTTTCTCTTCTAAGTTCTTCTAAATTCTTTAGTAGATTTTATATTCTGCTAGATGATATAAAGTTTTATCTTCTTTAAAACAGGCTATGCACTTTTAGCTCCTGTATAGTTTGAGGTTTCTCAGATAACAGATATATTTTGTTAGTAAGATATTATTGATATATTTTATACAAAACATAAAATCTCTACTTTTCTTTAGACTAATACTATAATATATACATAATATAAATATATATATATAATATATATATATAAATATATAGTATATATATAAATAGGATTGATGCACTTTCTCTTCTGACCATTTTGTAAAGACTAAGAATATTCTTATAAACAGACAAAATAAGCTCTATTAAGAACTTTACTAAATCTAAAAACAGTAACAGAACAGGAGTTCCTCTTCTAATTTACAGAAAACACAAAACTCTTGCTTTAGAAGTCTCTAAAAGCAAGAAAATTAAACTTGTAGAAAATTTTTCTGAAGAAATACAACTAGAAAAAAATACAAATAGCTTTTTTGCTATAAACAAGAAAGATATAACAACAAAAAATACTCTTTCAGCTCAAGCTAGCACATCACAACAAAATATAACTAGTAATATTACTTCTAGTTAGAACGAACAAGTCTCACAAGAAAGTGAAAAAAGTAGCTTTGAAAAAACAAGCAGTTCCTACAACAATGTAGTCACATCTAGTTCTAAGACGTGTAGTAAAAAAGAAAATAGTATAAATAACAACACAACAAAAACAACACATACTTCACTATGTGACTCATTATTAACAAGCTCTAAGCCAACTTTTGTAAACAACAACAACAACACATTAAACAGACCATAGTCAAGTTTATTTGCAAAAGTTAAAAGAAGACAGTCAACATTTTTCTCCTTTTTACTAAGAAATAACATAAAGTCAAAAAATAATAATACTCTTATCTTAGATATTCATAATCTCAATAGCTCTTTAAATGAAATTATGATTTCTCTTTATGATTCAGTAAGACATGATATAATCGTTACTAAGCTACATATTAACAAAGGTATACATTTTTATTTAGAACTAATCTTTACAGACAAGGAAAAACTTAAATACTATACTATCAAAGGAGTAGAAATCTTTGATAAAACCTACTATGGATACATCTTAACTAATATGAGAAGGTTATTTCTCTTAGTTAAAATCAGAAACGTCCCTCTAGATGATAAAGATATTATTTCAGATGAAATTAAAGAAGACTTTGAAGATATTAGCCAAATTGCCTCTATTAAACTTTTATTGATTGAAGATACACCCTACCTAACTGATCAGTGGATTATTACTTTTAAAACCACTGAAGACCCTGATCTGAAAGAAAGAATCACTTAATTCTATATCCTTATAGATAACAAAATTATTACAAAATAGCATTCTGCTCCAAAACTCTGCTATTTTTGTGACAAGGAAAGTCATATCAAAAAAGATTGCGATCAATTTAAAGAAGCCTTCTTACTTCAACAACAACACAAAGAATTCTTGTCTAACAAAAAGAAAGGTAAAAATACTCAACTAGAAATAGAAACTGAAAATTCTAATTTCTAGAAGAATAACATAGAAGATTCAACAAACAAAGAATTTCAAAACTAAGAAACTCTTTCTCCTATCTTAATAGTAACAGAAGATGAAGTTATAAATATCTTATTAACAAATGATCAGAATTCAGAAATTGCAACAGATAATACTGAAAAAAAAAATATTATACCTACTGATATAGCAATAGACTTAAATGCAAAAGCAGAAAAAATTAAGGCTACAAACTCCTCAATCATCCTTATCTCAAATGATAATAATCTGCAACCTTATATAGACAAAACAGAAGATGGTTTTATAGTAGTCACCTCAAAAAAAAGAAAAGGATTTATAACAATTTAAACGTATTTAGAAACAAACAAACACTTCTTTTCAAGACTATTCAAGACTCAGAAGGTTTTATTTTTCGAACTCTGTGAGTTACTTTTTTATTCAAGCAAACTTCGGGCACTTATATACATTATTTTTACATATGAAATAAATTTGTAAAATTTTCTAAATTTGAGAAATTACTAAAATTTGTTAAATTTCTTAAATTTCCGAAATTGTTAAAATTTGTGAAATTTCTTAAATTTACGAAATTTCTTAATTTTTTGAAATTTGGTTAATTTTCGCGATTTTCAAAATTTTCGAAATTGTCAAAATTTCGAAAATTTTCGAAATTTTGAAAATTTTGAAAATCTTGATGATCTTCCTCCGGACCAGGCGCAGCATCGGGGTGGGTAATTTCGACCCTTACATCGTGCCAAAACTTAGTTTGGTTGATTTTGGGTCCTTTCTTGACCTTGGGTCCTATTCTGTTCTTGCGCTTCACTTGCTCTTGCATTCTATTCCGTTCCTGGTTTCTATTCAGATTTGAACTCTATTCTGGTCTGGAGTTCTATTTTGGTTCAGGGGTCTTTCGGACAGACAAATATGCCCCCTTTCCCCGTATATATAACATTCGTTATTATTATTCAGTTGCTGGGGGCGATAGTTTCGATATTGTGGGGTCTAGGTTCTTCTCTATTCGCAAGATTAGCTGACATATTAGTTGACATTTGGCGCATAATCCTGGTAAGTTCTTTCTAATACTTGATTGGTTGGTCTTCCTTCATTTCTTCGTTCTTTATAGTATTTCCCTGCTTCGACTCTTCGGGCTCTTGCGATGGTTTCATCAAGATTATTGGGTTCAGCGATGGACATTATTGCGGCAATTCTACCCTTTAACCCTCTCATGAACATTCTAATTACAGAGGTTACTGGTAGATTATTTTTTGGATCTACTCGTTTTAATAATCTCTTAAAATTGTAAGCATAAACATCCACTTTCTCATTTTCTTCCTGCGTTAATGTATTTAGGTCAACCTGCCATTTATGGCGCTTTTCGGGGGTCGCGAAATATCTTATAAGCTTTGGTGAAAAGCTTCTATTCGGATGGTCTGGATTATCCCAATAATCCAAGGTACGCTTATTATCGTTATACCAGCTGGCTGCGATCCCAGCGAGATACCCTGAAGCGATTTGCACCATCCTTTGTCCGGGCCAATTATTAGCGTTAGCGGCTCTTTCGAATGCGTCAATCAATTCCACTGGATCCTCCTCATCTGTTCTACTAAAGGTTCTTACATGGACCCAATTAGTCTCGTCCGGTAGGTGTGTTATCGTTGCTTACATGGTTAATCGGGATTATTTCTGACAGCTTCGGTTGCTGCATCTCGAAATACTTTAGCGATTTCCTCCATAATTAAGTGGACATTATCTTTGTTGATAGGGGTGGAGGAAGAAATCAAATTCCGATCTTCAGGTCTCCGATCTTCAAAGTCAAGTATGTTTTGATCTTCTAAAAGACTTTGTTAGGACCTCATACTAGTATCAATTGGTTTCTTATGTTACTTATATTTACGTGTTTTGAATCGGGGGTAGCGAACGTTGTTTTGTCGAATCTCGCAGTCACCACCAAATGTAAAGGGGCGGATTTGGGTTACTGGGTCCCTCATGACTAAAACGTAATGTAACTCTAAGACACAAGGCAACTCAAAAGAGACGTGGAAGATTTGGTCCGAGAACCAAGGATCTTACTGCCACTAAGATCCTGGCTTTAAGATAGGTCTTTATTAATATCAAATGATAACTTATCTGTCTCTTTACTAACAGAATTTACAAGACTTTTATACATGAGAGATTCATCGGGCTTTTACAATTTAGTATCGAGGGAGGGAATCTAAAAGCGACTAACAATAACCTTTGTTCTCACAAGGCCATTATCCAATTGTTCTCAATGGGCTTCGCCTCGAGCTAAACCCAATATAGCATTTATTAAAACTTTCACATGCGGGATTTTGCGGCTTAGCTTCTGGTTTGGGTCGTGACTTTGGGTCGGGTCGTGGTTACGTTTCTCACGTGCCTTCTCTAGGTCACGTTTTTCCCTTACGTTACGTGCCTACAGCTAGGTCACATTTTTCCCACGGAATTTATCACAGTCATTAGTTACACAAAAGTAGTAGTATAAGGGTCGTTTGGGTAACCCTGTGGGAATGTCTATTAGGCCGTTTGAAAATAAAAATTCGGTTAACGTTCCCCCATTTCAGAAGCTCCCCCCATAAATTAACAACAATCAAACGTTAAACACGAGCACACATCAAGTTTAAATAAAGTTTGGTTCAGATTTAGGCTAAATTGAACCTAAGTTTAGATCATTTAAACCTCGTTTAAAATTACTATTTGTTTAATTTTTCCCCTTCCCCCTCTGCACAAAACCAAAAAAGAACACTTTAAACGAAAGTTTAAATTCAAACGGCCTTATATGGGACAAAATAAAAATTTATTAATTTCTCGAAATATTCCGGTTTCGTTCTATGAACAATTTGACTACTCGGAAATTACGCGCTATCTTCGAAACTTCAGCCCAAAGACAGTGATGTAATTTCCGAAGAGTTGGTGATTCTTGGGATGAAACCGAGAAGACTTTGGGAAACGAATAAATTTTAGTTTGTCACAAAATGAGACTATAACAGGGCCATAGCTATTGCTACCGGGTGACTCAGATAATGCACACTCTTACCAAGAATATAGCAAATGCTCCAACAGGGACGTGGAAAAATATCGATTTGATTTGGCAAAAATATTTAATCGATATGGTCAAAAATATAGATTTATAATATAGGCATACGTACCCTGATCAACTCCCATAGCATAAATTTCAAAGTTTCATCAAAAATCTTCTATTTTTCAAAAATTTGACTAATAAATTACCTTTCATGCTCTAACAAATGTTTTCTTTAAATAATTTACTGGATATACTGCTAAACTTCAACTCTGATATAAAAACACCTAACCCTAACATTTATGAGCTTAAAATTTTTTAGTCCGTGTTTTTTGATGGTTACGCTGGGGAAATTTATCCTGTTCGACCAAAAAAGAATGTAATATTTTTGATAATTTGTTGCCGGAGGATAAGTTATAGTTATTTTTTGAATCTAGAATAAATTAAAGAAAGCTTGTTTTTATTGTAATCTTTATTAAAAGAATTAGATTATCTAATATTAAATTGATTTGAACTCAGAGGTCGTGCAATGCTATTATTTATTACTAATATTGTATTAACTAACAAAAATTATTTGCATTTTTTTTTTAATTTAAAATACTTAATATTCATCAACTTTTTGCCTACACTCCAAATTTGTTTTTCGTATACTTCATGATAGCTAAAATATTGATGTCTGGTTGGTTATTATTATTACTACCAAAATCACAATCATTACCAAAAAGTGGACCACAATCATAATAGCAACCAATTGCATTTTCCAGGTCTTTTACACGACTTAAAATAGAATTTTGAATATTCCCATTTTTCAATGAAAAAATAAAGCTTTCATCGTATCTCAAATACCCATTAATTGATTTATCCCATTTAATCGGATTATATCCACCAAGAATTTCATCTGTGTCCTTTAATTTAATGATGACGATAATGCTAGTTTTTCCAAAATGAATCGTTAGTAAAGCTGTCCCTGCTTCCACGAAGAAGTAATTTAAATTCATATGGATTGTTTGTTGGATTATATTAGTCAACTTCTTTATGAAGCAATTTCAGCTGCATGTTTGTTTTTGAAAATGATCTAGTTTTTAATTTTTGTTTTAAAATAATGCGAGGTGGTAAAACTGTTGTTCAGGTGCTATAAATTTCTAATTATGTCTTCCCAAAGATTTTGTTCTAGAATATTTTTATACGGTAATACATTAGTCATAATATCGCCTCCAGGAATTTGAAAGTATTAGATATGTGATATAAAATCATAAAATTTTCTTAAGTCCAATCTTTAGTTTCTGGAGGTAGATCGGATTTTGTGCAATTTCCGTTTAATAACACGATTCCAAATTTTTGTCTCTTCAGCTCGTAAATTATCATGTTT